GTATTTCGAACATTCAGAAAGAGTCCCTCAAGTTTCGATTTAACGAAAGTCGACTGTGTGTAAATGTACTGTAAGCGCCTTTTCCCACGTTCCGGTTGCCAGATAGCCGGTGCGGGGTACCCGGCGGCGCAGTGCATACAAATTATACGGTTGTTATATTCAAATTTCGCCGGTACGTGTGAACGCTACAGTACATGGCCATACATTGCACCGCCAGGTACCTAGCAATCAGCACGTATGAAAAGGCACTAACAGACAAAATTAATTACCGACCTTAATCACCTGATATATCGTATGAAGGAATTCAATTCATATATCGTATGAAAAATCCATAACATTTTTTCATACGAAACTAGTCTCTAAACATCGGAAATAATAAAGTCGATAATGGAGTAAGAGCGGTTACAGGTAACCGCTTGGAGACTCGGTAGTCCGAAATTTGAATCTATTTAGGACTTTGGATTAACATTAATTATTTATTAATTTAAGCCATAAGTAAGTCGGTAGGTCACCTTAATCTACCTCTTTAATAAATACCGTATTATGTTTTTTTTTTTCATTTTCTATACGTAGTATGAAAAACAAAAACCAATACATCCATAGCATGTTCGAAAAAAGTTTACAACCCAAAAGATTGTAAATTAAAAACTCATCAAAAAATAGTCTTTAAAAATAGTATTTTTATTATCATTTACAGTTTAAACTTCCAATGCAATCCATGTATTTCAGACGTTCAATAACGGCGACGCTGAGTACGTTTGGCACTGGAGCCCCTGGCGAAGACCTGTCCATTGGCTCTGCCGGCTCACTGGCTGCCAGACACGCGTACCAACCAGCTGAGTGGACTTCAGCACAGTCAGGTATACCTTATTTAAAGTAATGGGAGCTCTCGTTGTTTTCCTCACCAAATTGGGGGTACCGTTTTTTTTTTGGACACCATACGGTGCAAATGTAGGAAAGAGTTTTTGTCCAGTCACAACAGCTATCAAATGGTGTGACACTAGCTAATTACCTATTCCATTGGGGTCATGGGCGCATAGAGTGGGAAATCTAGGCGCCCACATAATGTCCTCAAGGATGACGGCGCCACAGTGGTCACGTGCCGCCGTGCACTGCACAGAGAGGCTCTAGGTAGACACAGGTCTTCATAGGGAGGTGCCGTAACAGGCTTTGCACTGTGGGGGCTCCGGGGTTGGTCTACTAAGAGGACCCGGTGCCTCCTTCAGGTGCAGATGGTAGCCACCGGGGAGGTTTCAGTGAGGTAAAAATCCCACACACCCTAGTCTTTTTTCCCCAAAAACCTAGGCGCCTTTTGAAGATTTCCACCCGTCAACGAAAAGAAAAAAGCTAATTACTTATTGGACGAAGAAAGAGTATTCATAATGGCACCATCTAGTGAGCAAATATACGATAGGCCCCTTTAACTTCAAAGTTTGTCACGGGTAAATTAGCTAATAGCTAACCTTAATTAACTCACAAAAAATATCTTCTAATTCCCTTGAGTGTTTCTAAGGGCCATTTTCAGTAATCACCTCTAAACCATCTCCTAAATAAGAGTTACTTAGCATAACGAAGTACCTAAGCTAACTTTTTACCTCTACATGTTACTTATAGGTTGGTGAAAACCTAAATGTCTTTAAGTGTCATTTATGTTACCTTAGGGGATCCTTAAATTTAATTTGTGAAAACATTAATGAATATCTCAATAACTAATAATCGCGGGTTACTCACGTGAATATACTGAGAAAAGCTCTACTACAGTGAGCTGCGCGACATCGCCGCGACCGCGAACGCTGCTCATGAGGAAGAACCCCTCTGTGCTTCGAAACTGGTAGAGCATTTATCAGTATATTCACGTGAATAACTCGCGATTTTTAGTTAATTTATTATGTCTCACGAGAGTTATTATAAAAATATGAATATCTCATTTGTTAGATAAATTTTTGTCTTATTTGAGAAATTCTCATTGGATACACTAATCTCTAGAACAACAGATCATTGTAACACGCTATAGTTGTTTTTTCCAACATTAATAGCAGAAATGAGATGAATGGTGATTTACAGCTTCTTGCCTTTTCATAAAAATGGGATAAGCGGATAAACGACCAGACGGATCACCTAATGGTAAGCAATCGGCGCCGCCTATGGATACCCGGAACACCAAAGGCGTTACAAGTGCGTTACCAACCTATTGAGGATTAGGAATCTATCTATCTATCTAGCAGATAAGATGTTTTCGATAACTAATGTGAATTATTCAATAAAGTCCAATTTTCTTCGCAGAGAGCTCAACCATCACATCAGATGAAGAAACCGAAGCTGAAGAATCAGGTTACGCCTCCCTCGAGCGGTTCCTAGCTGCGTTCGGCCTCTCCCAATACGTTCAGAAGTTCAAAGACGAACAAATAGACCTTGATGCTCTCATGATACTCACGGAAAGTGACCTGAAGTCCTTAGGTCTCCCTCTAGGACCTTACAGGAAACTAGTAACGGCAATCCAAGAAAGGAAACAGGCTCTATCACACCCTGGACCTATTATAGACACGGCTTTATAAACTGGTGCAATTTTTTCGTTGTTTCAAATATCGTTTTTGCCAATGCAAGCTGGCGCCACTGACGATTTTGGTCCTGTAAAATCAGTGTTTGAATTTTTACTTGCCATTTTAATGAAATTGAGCATGTTTTGATTTAATGTTAGTAAAATTTTTGGTTTTATAACGTAAGTAAGAATGGAAACAACTCTTTTAGTAGACAATTATACAATAACTTATTTCTAAATGCACTTGGCAGTCAAGAAACGGAGTCACTAGCGTTATTCTATACAACTCTCCATAACATAAAAAAAAAATCGTTTTACAAGAAAATGCTCTCATTTTAAAGGTTACTAAATGGCCTTTTAGACGACGTACATTACCAATTAATTAAATACTTGTATCATAAAATATTTAAAAAGAAATGAAAAAGAAAAAATGATGATTTCATATTTGATACGATGACGCCTACTATAGCTTTACTTCACAACTCACTTCGACCATAAGTCGAAAATAATGGTACAAAAAGTCGTATATTTATGCTCAATTTTTACGTAATTAAGATGTAAGACACTGCGCAGTTAGTGGTACCTTCGTGATTTTCTGCTCATCATCAACATCAACAGCCTATAAGTGGCCACTGTTGAGCAAAGCCTCTTCTCACACGGAGAATATTTGAGCATTAACCACCACGCTTCCTCAATGTGGGTTGGCGATTTTAAACTTATAATTAGAAATTATAAGCCCAGGTTTCCTCACGATGTTTTCCTTCACCGTTTGTTAGTGGTATCTAATTAATCTTAGAAAGTACATATAACTCGAAAAAAGTCACATTGGTACTTTGCCATTGGTAGGTTCCCAACCCGCTCGCTCGTGCATGAGAAGCGGTCGTCTTAAACCTCAAGTCCAATTTTAATTTTCTGTGCTGTAGCCAAATGCCATTTAGCGCTTGTCTACATGTGGAATAGAAAACAAATTATATGGAATTGACGTAAATTTTGACACTTGTCAGTGTCATCCCCATATATTTTGATTTCTACTCTCTCTGTAGACAAGCGCTAAAGTGGCGTTTGGCTAGAGGCCCAGGTCTTAAATCATTTTGGCCCTTTTGGACAATAATTGTCTATCATTAAGGGTCCGGATAACCGCAATGTACCGTTACTATAAAGAATTAAGAATACAATAGGTACTTATATGAAGGTGGTAAAACAGGCGCTTAATTTAAAATAATAAGAAGATTATCTAGATATTCATGTGTCCAAGCATAAATCTATAAATTTAGTCAGAACATATTTAAACTTTCAGTGTGAAGCAGGACTTTCTGAAAAGTTTTTATAGCAATTTGCACGAGTACGAAATAGGTTTTATTTCGTGAATAGAACGTTTTAGGTTAAGATTTCCAGTGTGCTCTTGATTTATATAAAATTTTGTGTAATTTATACATATATTGTAACTCATTTTATTACTTATATATAAAATAGATATAACTTTACACTATTTCTTTCCAAGACTTGTAAAATGTATCGCGTTTTATGTATTTTTTTTTTCAGTATTTGTCTTATACCTTTATCAGGTTTTTTTAAATATGTAACGAAATGTACTTAATAGAATATGAGTTAGTGCCTCATTTAAATGTGATATAAGTTCGAGATCATTCCATCCAGTATAACGTCCAATCGCCATAATTATTATAAATATTTTTGTACAGTTTTTTGAATATACATTTGTATGAATGATTTATTGTGTTTCATTTTTTGTAGCTATTACTTATGCTATTATGCAACAATATAAATAAACGTCGATATTTACCAGAAACTGTAATGTGTAGTACCACTACATTTTTCAATAATTACCCATCTACCCCTTCACTCAGCACCACGTCCATGTAAACGGAATTATAATCGATAAAATACATAAAAAGGAAAACACCTGTTTTAAAATGAAAGTTTTTTTTAAATCCGAACATTTCCAATTTGGTTGCATCAGTTCGTTCAAGTACCTAGACACAATACGTGTAGTGGGTAGGAAATATTCTTGAATAATATTGCACCAAAAATAAGACAAAGTTTCTAAGTAAGTAAGGAGTTCAAAAGAGTTAATTTTTAAGGGGAGAAAATCATCGAATGACTTCTTCTGCCTTGGTGAGACGGGAAGGACTGTCACTCTTACTGACTAAAAACCACCCCGTTCCTACCCTTACACTTTGAGCCGGAGCCCCGGTAACATTTTATGTTCTCCGCGGTTACGTATCGGCATCAGCCCTATTGGGCCCCCATCCGTGGTCTGATGGCTGTTTGAGGCGCGCGCATTGGAAAGTGGGTAGGAAATATTTTTGAATAATAATGACCGCAAATCGCTGCTACTTAACAATAGATGGCTCTGTATAAATTATGTATTTCTATCACTAGATGTCGTTATCTATTACGCGGTTCGAAACATGAATTTTCAAAATGTGTTGTAATAAATAAAGTATCGTGGTATCGCCAGTCGGCGGTCGTGTGTATAAGTGTTGTGAAAAACAATAAAAATGACAACAGATAGATTCCATAGGTAAGTAACGAAATCTTGATAAGATACCAGTAAATACGTAGAGGTAATTTCGATAACATTATGGATGCACAATAATAAAATTATAAATTGCATTTGGAATTCCTTTTTTCACTCAATCTGCTTAGACTGTAATAATTTAGTTAGTGGTTTTTTTTTGAGGGGGAGGGATACCATCCAATGTCTTATCCCGCCTTGGGTTAGGTGAGAAGGAGTGTCAGTGTCTCTCACTGACTAAAAACCATCCCGTTCCTACTTCTATTCTTCGAGCTGAAGCTCCGGCAATCCGTTAAGCCTTTTGTGGCTCCGTAAGTATCGGGCCATATTGGGCCCCATATGTGGTGGTCCGATGGCTCTTCGTGACGCGCGCGAAACGCGGCGCGGCATGCGCACGGGTCTGGTTCTGGTAGAGAAGCGGGCTACCCTTGCTCCCCGTCCGCAGACCCGCTGTGGATATCCTTCGAAAACTGGATAAGTAGAAAAAAAGAAATTAAAATGAAAAGATCAGTTAATTACTAAAATGAATAGGTTAGGTTCTACTTAGTTAATATAAATAATCAACGGTTTTGTAATTTAAAAGGTATTAATTTGATAAAGTAGCTCTAGGCACGTCATAATAGGTAATTAACACAAATACCAATAAGAAATCTATGACATGGAACAGTTGTTTCTGTTCAGAGGCCGTAGTACGAGTTTGATTTACGTTTAAAGTATTCGAAACGAGTAGGAACGCGTTCGGCACTCTGATTGGCCAGCACCAATGAAGCAACCAATCAGAGCGCCGAATGCGTACTCGTTTAGGATACCTTAAACGTAAAACAAACTCGTACAAAGGCCTCTGACCTAAATAAAAAAAAACATAAGATACTTAAAGACAAAGATATTGGTCGTAGGTAAGGAAATAACTAGTAGGGGTTATTTTCCTCCACAATCAAGGCAATTAACAAAATATTCTCGTATTGCCTCAATTCATTTATTACGTTATAACTATTTTTTTCAGAGCGGCCAAAGATGGTATACTGAAGTTGTTGCAAGAAGCGAACAGTAGGGAGTGCAACAACAAAGATGAGTCTGGCATGACGCCCACACTCTGGGCTGCCTTCGAGGGACATATCGAGGCACTCAAACTTTTGTGCGCGAGAGGGTAAGCATACAAACGTGTTAATCAATTACAAGACTTAATCTTACCACTTTTTTTGCCAATACTTGAGTTAAACTGTCAAACACCAAGCGGTCACCGGTGACCGCAACCTCTTGTTCTATAATTGTGTCTATATTGACGGTACTCGACGAGTTAAAGTCATATATTCTGATTAATTCAAAGCATTTATTTCAATTAAACCACAATTTGGTACTTTTGAAACGTCAACAAATACAAAATAAATAATAGTCTGTCAGTCAGTCCGTCAGTGAAGCTAGGTGAAGCTAGGTGCTCATTCCAAAATGTAGATTCGAATGGAGAAGAACGAGCAATTGTTCACACTATTTTGTTCTTTGTACATTATTAACCTTACCCATTTATTGTTACTAGAGGAGATCCAGATAAAGCAGATTACTTCGGTAACACTGCCCTCCACCTCGCAGCCGCGCGTGGTCACAAAGAATGCGTCACCTTCCTCATCAACTTCGGAGCCAATGTATTCGCTATGGATGTGAATGGCCACACCGCACAACAGTTAGCTGCCAACAATGAACGAAACGATATACTGCAGTATTTAGACCAGGCAACTGCGAAATTGGAGAATAATGATAAGTGAGTTTTCATTTACCCACTTGTTTGGTCTGCTATGGCGCTTAGATGCTAAGTACTTCGGTATAAATATGGGATCAGGAAAGTCTTGACCTATTTGAGGCCTCTTTTTAGAAAATCCTAATAAAAAATATTTCATACAAGACTATATCCTGAAATCCATGCTGAAATAAAATATTTCGTACCAAGTTACCAACCGATATTACTTAATGTGATATTGTTTCATTTGAAAAACATAGATGTTTGACGATGTAGAATGCAGTAAACAAATATTTACAAACTTGAGTCCACTATTTAACTATAATTTAGTTCTTAACTCACTTGAACATACGACACAAATTATTATGCTGGCACTTCGTTTTGTTCACCTTTTTAGGGGGGAACTTAATTAAACAACGTAAATTAACAATACCCTTTTACCATTTCAGGAAAAAAGCTAAATCTCTAAAAGAGAAAGCACAGAAAAAATACGAGAAATCCCTCAAACAATACCAGAAACGGCAGAGTAAGGCCGAGCTGATGGCTGAGAAGGAGCTGAAGAAGCTGGCCAAGGAGTGGGACCAGGGGTATGCTGAAGAGGTCCACACAATGCCACATAGGCCCAGTAACGTGCTGTGGGCGCCAAAGCAGAAGATGGCCAGGTCTACTAGCCATGGTAACATAACAACAGCACAATTGGTTACTTACTTGACAACTAGTCGAATTCAATACTTTTTTCGAACTGTCAAAAATGACAGTATTCTTTGAATTTTGTTTGAGATTATGTATTGTGACGTCATGTTTTTTTATCGTTAAACAGCATACCTACTTATTTCTTAAACAAAATCCTGGAAAATACATAAATGAAGTTGGTCATAAAATCAATTAATGAAAGTGTGATTATTTTTTCATATTTTATTGTAATTAATAATCGAAATAATTTATTTTTGATTAAAGCAAATACCCAATTAGGGCACTGGATATTTGACCGGCTGCTGCAAAAGATGTCGATAACGTTCCGCACGGAACAAATTCTCTGTTTGATCCACAAATGCTATTCTGCGTCTGTGCATGCATGCGTGCGTGTGAAATTAAGTATGCGTTTGTGAACACATCTACGCTACGACAAGAGAAAAATTTACCTTTCTCAAGTTATTGTGGACAGTTAATATAGAGTTTTTGAAGGTTTTTAGTTAGAGGCTCTCCCAATGTAATAACTAGCGAAAAGTGGATGTTAGGTACATTTGAATGAACCTACCCTAACCTCTTTATATCTCTATTTGGAAAAGAAAGCGTAATACGTGTACGCGTAATATATCTTTATTAGTACAAGTCTCCCCCATTATGTACTACCTACATTACTATATTATGTATACTAGCGACCCGCCCAGGCTTCGCACAGGTGAAATACGCATGTATCATACATATAAAGAATGACTCTATCTAATAAAACGCATCAAAATCCGTTGCGTAGTTTTAAAGATCTAAGCATACATAGGGACAAACAGAAGGCGGTTTGTTTTATACTATGTAGTGATTATACACATATTTTATTATACTATCATGACATGAAAATCTCTAATAAAGTGTCATTTTATTCCCCGATGTTTATAATCACTGATAAATAATATGCACCGATAGCGTTAATATTGTCCTAATCTACGATACGTCACACATACTTTGAATAATGGCGTATAAATTCGTCATACTGCTAGTGCTATAAAAATGTCAGTCAAAATAATGAGATATAGGTGTAGAAAATAAATTTATAGAAGAATTTAATCTTTTTCTTACTAACCCTAGTGTTTAAGTTGCAGTTTAAAAGACGCATACTAACACAAAATGGTTCCTATGTTGTTCCAAATAAAAACAATTTATTATTATATTATTATTATGTATGTCTTTACCATTCACGGGACCACAGGGTCCCGGTCATTTGGGAGGCGTACGAGGGGCCGAAGCCAACTGCGCAGAGGCCCTTTAGACAACTTTAATATAAATGTAGTGGACACACAAACCGGCGACTATCCCTGTATGCACTATGGAAATGCACCCAAGGACAGCCCCCGGTTTGTGTAAAACTATTGTGGATAATGGAAAAAAAAGGTAGGGCTATGGATGGGTTGCTGTGGACTGGGAAATTGGGAACTATGGATGACTATGGCACCTGCCGAAACAATGTAATTATTACACGTAAAAATGGCAGGCGGAGACTCGCCAACTCACCGACCTGGCCCCGGGAATGGTTGCTAGATATAGCAACAAAGGGGCAACGAGAATGTGAGTGGCTGAAGGGTTAAGAAACTACCACCGCTTTCTACTCAGATCATCTGCTCCAGCCGAAGCCTCCTGCATCCCTGGCCCACTCGCGACTTACGAATAGTTTCTTACCCTCCGAGCAGGATCACTGCTCTCGCGACTCCACTCTGGACGGCCAATGAAGGCAAGCCAGAGGTGGGAGACCTGTTCCTTGTCATCGTTCACTCCAGCCAGCCAATTAAGGCAAGCCGGAGAAGAAGGAACGGTGACTTCTCCCTGGAGCACTCGGGATGATGGTAGCCCGCGGGATCGCTAATGCCCGTCACCTCGCCTCAAGGTGCCCTGCGGGCTTATATTATTATTATTATATTATTATTATTATATTATTAAGAATCTAATCGACAGTCGTTGACATATACAATGTAACACCCATTTCTACAACAGTTATGTTATAAAACTATAAAACTCATATCCAAGGATGCTACTAATATTTACAGGCAGTCTCCTAGCTGACGATCAACCTCGGCGGACACAAAGCGAACTGGAAGGCACTGTCAACTCTGGCGCAAGGGGGCGGGGCGCGGTGCACAAGAAGGCACTCGCTAGCAAACTGAGGAACAACACTATTGAGAAGAATAATAATGTCAACACTGATGATTTTAAGGTAAGTTGTGGTGGCAGTATTTAAGAAGAAAGTTATATTATACTAGCTTATGAGGCCTTAGTACGAGTTTGATTAACCATTATTAAGTATTCGAAATGAGTATGCGTTCTGCTCTCTGATTAGCCGGCTCGAATGAAAGAACCAATCAGAGCGCCGAACGCGTACTCGTTTCGAATACTTTAAACGTAAAACAAACTCGTACTAAGGCCTCTGAACGCGACTTCGTACGCGCAATCCTTTTTCTGTCGTAAAAACCTTCACCTGAATAACAAACACAACAAAAAAATGATCATCAAGTTATGGCGTGACAACGGGAAACCGGTTTCATTTTTATATAATAGAAGATAGATAGATAGACGTAGTTAATTTCGTAAATAAACTGAAATGTTATTTTGGATCTCGAAAGGTCCTCCGACTATCTTTACCTTGCAGTCGTAATAACGAACTTACTGGGTACATATTGTTTATGTTCAGCCATTATCACTTAAACTTTTCATAGCTTCACTTTTTGATAAAACCATTCTTATGGTTTATCCGAATTTCTAATGATAATCAAGACTTTACGCTTCATTAGCGCCACCTATGGTTAAGAAAAGTGCGGTCCATGGCCCTCTACGGCGCCCCTGTGTGGGCGCCGAACATGCTGCGGCGTCCCGCTCGGACGCTGCTCGTGTCACAGAGGGTCATGGCGATCCGTATGATCCGCGGATACCGCACGATCTCCGGGGAGTCGGCGAACCTCCTTGCCGGATTACCGCCGTGGGATCTGGAGGCGAAAGTGCTCGCGCGCGTGTATCACATGCGCGCGGAAGCACGTCGCCCCGGGGCGAAACTCCGCTGCCGCGCCAGATAAGTGCGTGGCGGGATGGGCTCCGGCGCGATCTCATGGCGGAATGGCAGCAACGACTGTCGCAACCGAGGGCTGGGCTCGCTGCCATTGCAGCGGTAAGTCCCCTCTTTGAGGAGTGGCTTGAGAGACGCTACGGCGTCCTCACCTACCGCCTGACGCAGGTCCTCACCGGACATGGAAGTTTCGGGAGGTAGCCGTGTCTGATGGGGCGGGGTAAGCGCGGGACTGCGGACGGCGAGCATGGGTGGCTCCCCGTCCGACCAGAAACAGACCCCAGCGTACGGCGCGTCGCGTTCCGCGCGCGCCTCAAAGAGCCATCAGACCACCACAGATGGGGCCCAATAGGGCCGATGCCGATTCGGAGTCGCGGAGAACCTAACGAGTAACCGGGGCTTTGGCTCGACGTGCAGGAGAAGGAACGGGGTGGTTTTAGTCAGTAAGAGTCTGACACTCCCTCCCGCCTCACCCAGACGGGAGCAGTCACTTGATGATTTTCCCCCTTAAAAAAAAATGGTTAAGAAAAATCGAAGAAGTTTGCAGACGTGCAGAGGGCTTAGTACGAGTTTCTTTTTCATTTAAAGTAATCAAAACGTAACCTCGTCTGGCGCTCTGATTGGTTGGTTCATTGGAGCCCAGCGCCGACCGCGTACTCGTTTCTATTACTTTCAACGTAAAAGAAACACGTACTAAGGCCTCAGATATTGAGGCTTTGAATGCCGACAAAAGGCTGAGGATAAATTATTAGCTTGTGTATCCCATAATAATACGGTATCCTTACTAATATTATAAATCGGAAAGTTAGTTTGTTTGTTTGTTCCGCTTCCACGCCGTAACTACTAAACCGATTGCTTAGAATTTTTGCAGACGTAAAGTAAGAAGTCCGGATTAAATAATAGGGTACTTTTTATCCCGGAAAAAAATGATATTTCCAAGGGAATACAAAAGTATTGGTATAGATGGCGCTGTGTGTATTGGTATATGTCACATAGGCTACTTTTATCCTTTTGTGATTTGTAAAAACTTAAATATAAACCGAACCACCGAAACATGTTAAACGCCATGGGGTCACCGGTGACCGGCGTTAGCGGAGGATTTACCTTCAACAGTTCTTTATTGGCAGTCAAAGTCAAAGCCAATCACCACCAACTAAATTAAGTTAGTTTAGTTCCCGTAGTCTGTTTTTCATAACTGTGCGTCCACCCCTAACTATCTCACATGTATTAAAGTTAGCTCAACTATGTGAACTACTTAAAATAAACTAATTCACTTTTTACTTTCTGCTTTGACCCTCGTAGCGTCCAACGTTGTAACTAATTTACCTAATACCTTTTATTCTTTAGTTCACAGTGATCGAGACAACAGGTCGTAGATCAGTGACGTCGGTGAAAGGAATCCGTCGGGATTCAGAAGTGATGTATTCGAATACCATCGCCACGGAGCTTCAGCAGAGAGGCAACGAGTCTGACGTGTTTGCTGACGAACCGTCCGAGCCCAACGTGCCTAAGAAATCTCTTATTAGGTGTTTTAATGCTAAGAGTTCAGGTTCCGCCTTGAGCAAACGTAATGATTGATACGCATATTATCTCCGTGTGAGAAATATTATCTCTTTGCTGAGCAATAGGAATTTATAGGCTGATGATTGCCTCGTTGGCCGAGTGGTCGCAAGTGCGACTGCCGGGCAAGGGCTCGGGTTAGATTCCCGGGTCAAGCAAAGTAATACTGCGTTTTTAAAAAATTCTCAGTAGTAGCACGGAGTCTGGAATTGTACCCGGTATATGGCAATAAGCTCACCCCCTATTGCATGGGACTTAAACATAAATAGTAAAAAGTGGGTGTTACATTGTACAGTGCCGTAATATACACCTCTGCCTACCCCTTCGGGGATAAAAGGTGGCAGTCGCACTAGCGACCACTCGACCAACGAGGCAGTCAGATACTTTAAATATCTGATAATTTATTTCCCTATCCTCTCATTCCAGGTCTGTAAGTCAGCCAGACCTTGCTTTGCTGAACGAAGACAGTGCTATTGAACAAGAGTTGATGTTCCAAGAGCCAGCTAGTATGTTTGAGAGACCTTGGGCAAATGGGGTTGCCAACGTTGTGTTCAGGTAAAGTAATGATAATACCAATCGTAAAGTAATATTTTTTTATATATTTAAATATTATTTTTTATTTTATAAGTAGTATTTAAAAATGTAATTTGTAGAGAATTTTAAATAAATATATGTGAATACCAATCGTAAACTACTTTAAAAAGATTTGGTGTAGAAGTACGGCTTCATTTCACTTGTAGGCAAAATAAGCACTTGACTTTATCATTTTTAGTCTGCGGTTCATCAAAAATGTTTGACCCTTTCCAATAGGGATGCTGACAGGGTATGAAAATTAAAAATCTAATTAGTCCGTCAGTTGGGTAATGAAAAAATATTAGACACTTAGTTATTTTTTTATTTTGTCGTATAAGAAAACAATACTTAGATAAAATGAATCAATCTTTAGGAGTGCTTTTTAGAGCATAAATCGTACTCAAATCAATATATCTTCGAAAGTATTTGTTTCCGTAAGAAAATAAAAATTACGTGTACAAAAAAATTATTCCTTTTTTTACTTTTCCTAGTATCTGGTTTAAAATAAAAACGATGTATTTCAGGCGTTCCATAACAGCGATGTTTGACAGTGGAGTGCCTGACGAAGACTTATCTATGGACTCTGACAGGTCTTTTGCCGCTAGACAGGCGTACCAACCAGCTAACTGGACTTCCACGCAGTCAGGTAAACACCTCAGGAGATTGATGCTTTCTAAAGCATCAATCTCCTGAGCGTGACTGGACCTTACGAAAGCGTATCATTGTTTTTATGAAATTTTGTCGTCACTTTCATATCAACGTGAATCGGAATGTAGTGTCTTGTATCAATTGGGGAACTTGTTATTGGATATTCAAATTCAAATTGTTTATTATCTTAAGAATTACAATATCGGTCTAACTTTGAGGCAGTCTCAGTAAGTTATTATACAATACTTGTGTTGGGTTATATACAATACTGACTCGACTCGTTTCTTTATTTATTTAAAAACTCTTAACAATAATAGCTTCGAAATCTGTAAATGACCTAATTAAAGGAAAACAACAAAAATTAAAGTATGTACAGAAAAAGAAATTAAAAATATATTGGTACTTAAATACTCTGGTATTGTATTCGTTTTGTTTTTATTTGGGTATTTTTAATGCTTCATGCACAAATCTTACGAATGCGATTTTAACAACATTTATTTAATAGAATAAATAAGACGATACTTAAATACTTTCTGACTTCTTGGAGATGTCAGAAGTAATTGTAAAAAGATAGCTTTTTTTTAAATCGTTGCCCCATACTAGGATTTCTTCGTGTCGTGGATGCACATAAAATACTTTTCAAAAATTGGGACAAATCCCTTCATAATAAACTCCATTTTCGTTACAGATAGCTCAACTATCACATCAGATGAAGAAACTGAAGCTGAAGAGACAGGTGACGCCTCCCTCGAGCGGTTCCTAGCAGTGTTCGGCCTCTCCCAATACGCGCAGAAGTTCAAAGACGAACAAATAGACCTTGATGCTCTCATGATGCTGACGGAAAGTGACCTGAAGTCGTTAGGTCTCCCTCTAGGACCTTACAGGAAACTGGTGACAGCAATCCAAGAAAGGAAACAGGCTCTATCACACCCTGGACGTATTATAGACACGACTTTATAAACGATTAGGGATAATATAGGGGCTACCGTTTTTTTCCACCAGATGACGCAAATTTAGAAAGACAATTTTTGTCCAATCACTGGAGCTCTCAAATATGACCGTCCAATGGTGTGATACTAGTTAATTTCCTATTGGACGAAAAACGAAAGGGTCACACTAGCACCATCTAGCGGGAAAAATACAGTAACCATGAAGTGGCACGAATTTAATCTGTTACATACATACACGTGCAACAAACGTTTAGTTTTATACTTTTTATTCAAGTAGCAGAAGCTAGCTAGTACCTAGACTATAAATGAGTGCCTCATGAAATGTGATAGAAATGTACCTTACGTCCAATTACCATGATTATTATAAATATTTTTATAAAATTTTCGTAATAAACTTTTTTATGAATGATTTATTGTTTTATTTCTTATTAGTATTATCAATTTTTTGGCGTTCTGCGCCGAGTACATAATTTATAGCCAGACTTTTAAACAAAATTTGTGTTCAATGGGAAAACTTGTAACCGACTTGTTCTTGAAAGTGTAACCACCTAAAGTGTCACAAAGGTTCTTAAGTCCAAAGTGAAACCATAGACAGTCAATGGCGACCATAAACAATATCAATATTCTAATTGTTACTAATGGGGTGTCCATGCATAGTACATAATGGGACGCCACAATGTTATAGAAGAATACACACATGGAAGTCGATATTTACCACGTTAATTCCAATTACCCATCTACCCCTTCACCCATCTTCCTTTTGCGAAGCAGTCATGCTAGCTAAGGAGGAGGCGGGACGCGTGAGGCAGCGAAGCGCTGCCTCCTCGCAACCCAGCCATCGCGAAGGACACACCGGGCGTCGGGAATCGCGGGACGATCTCCGGCCACCGTAAGCGCGGGCCTGCGGACGGCGAGCATGGGTGGCTCCCCGTCCGACCAGAAACAGACCCGAGCGTACGGCGCGTCGCGTTCCGCGCGCGCCTCAAAGAGCCATCAGACCACCACAGATGGGGCCCAATAGGACCGATGCCGATTCGGAGTCGCGGAGAACCTAACGGGTAACCGGGGCTCCGGCTCGACGTGCAGGAGAAGGAACGGCGTGGTTTTTAGTCAGTAAGAGTCTGACACTCCCTCCCGCCTCACCCAGGCGGGAGCAGACATTCGATGATATTCCCCCCTTAAAAAAAAACCCCTTCACCCACGTCAATGTAAAGCAATTGTTATCGATAAAATACATAAAAATAAAATGACCTATCTAGCTGATTAAATAATTATCGAAAACATGACTGTAAAAATTAAATATACATAGTAGGTATGTATTCAATGTGTAATAATGACGAAAAGTACCTACGGGTTGGGCCACGACCTATTCACCTACTAGATTAAACTACTATTCAAATGTGAATCGAAAATTGAAATATGTAGGTATTGATATAATACATTATCGACTCGCCTGCATCCATTGGTAGACAGAGATAATAGAAGCCCTACTATATATATATTTTGTTTCATCGACATTCATCAGACTCTTCATGCATGCTCATGTCCAATGATGATGAACTTTGTCTTTTACTTAAAAAGGTATTGTACCATAAAAATAATACTACGCAGTTATTCTTACTACCTAGTCGGCCGAGTGGTCGCAAGGTCAAGGGGTCTCGGGTTAAATTCCCGGGCCGGGCAAAGTGCAACCGATTTTTTTTTTATTTATTTCACTCACGTTTAGGCATCAGTTTTAGGCTCACCCCCTATTATGTAATAGGGGGTGAGCCCTCAGAGGGACTCATAACGTAAATAGTGAAAAGTAGGTGTAACATTGTACAGTGGCATTAAGTGCCGTAGATAATGTAAAATGTACACCTCTGCCTACCCCTTCGGGGATAAAAAGCGTGATGTTATATTATGGTTATGTTATGTAAAAAGTGTAGTAATTTTTACTGATGTTAGTACTACCAAAAATAAGGAACTCAGAGGCTTACTAAAATGTTGGTAGGAAATGTTCTTGAATAACGGCAACGCATTGCACCAAAAATACGACATACCCAAGCAGTGTGTTGAAAAGTGGGTAGGCAATATTCTTGAATGGCTTTGCGGGCAAATCACTGTTTCTCAATAATAGATGGCACTGTATAAGTTTTGTATTTCTATCACTAGATGTCGTTATCAATTTCGTCGGTCACAATTAATGTCGTTCAAGAATATTTTATTTCCTATCCACTTCTACTCTAAATGCGCTTCTCACAATGTTAGTCTTTTTTTAAGAGGGGAAAATCATCAAATGACTTCTCCCGCCCGGGCGAGGTGAGAGGGAGTGTCAGACTCTTACTGACTAAAAACCACCCCGTTCCTACTCCTGCACTTCGAGCCGGAGCCCCGGTAACCCGTTAGGTTCTCCGCGACTCATGTTATGAAATCTAGGATTCTTATTTCGAAACGAAATGTGGAATTTTGTGTGCAACTATAGTATTAGAAGTTTTTCTTCTGAACTATTGTGTAAGTAAAATATTATTATAGTTTTTAAGCCTGTTTAAGAAAAAAAAACAACGTACTTTTTTCTAATTATTTATTAAAGAAGTTTTAAATACAATTAAATATAATCTATCATTTACTGTAATCAATATCCTAAACTGATTAATGTACAAATATTTCTGAGCTAACTAGTCGGTATGAACTATACCTTCACGATTTCGACTAAGGAAATTAAATACAATCCATAGAAAAATCATTATGCTAGCGTATATCCATACAAAAAGGACGGTTTTCATCGATTTGACAATCAAAAAACATACAAAAAATTACTAATAAATTGATCTAGACATAGAAATTGAGATATATCAAAGACAAAATATACCATATTTCTTGTGACTATCCAGAGCTAGGCCTTGCATTATACGAGGTGTACAAATACCTTCATCTAGCACTACACTACGTTACATTAGATTAAGATATGTTTAAACAGTACGAATGAGCAATATTTATACGATAGAAGGCACAACACTTTTGGATATATTTATTTGATCAGAGTAAATAAGTCGAATTTTATAAAAACTATCATTATTTATGAAACCAAAATCTTAACATTCTTAGATTTTAACTTAGGTACTACAAGAATTTGTTTCATTTCTGTATATTATGGCGGAGTCATTTCTAACTTACTCCTAATTACAGCATCTCTCCCGATACATTGTTACAGTTCTATCATTATCTAAAATTCGTAGCAGAGATTGTTCGTAAGTTGTCGCATGAAACGTTAAGGTTCAGTGGCGTCGGAGTTTCGTACAGCCGTGCACAGGGCCGCGGCGCGAGGTCGACCGAGCGAGGCATCGCGTCACGGCGCAATAAATAAAGTGCCAATAGTCGGAAGGATATTCTCTCAACCAGATTCGGGCCACCCATTTATAAATAAACAAACAGTGTATGAATGTTTAGGAGACAAGGACGTAAACTTTTCAAAATGAAATTCATGGGTTGTGGCGTCATACACTGTACGGCAATAATCGAAACTCGGAACCATTGCTTCCATTGTGTGTCGTGTCTACACCTACACCCGCGCGAGTTCAATACATGAACGCTAGATACAAGTTGCTATGTTTAGAGGACTTCTTTGATTTCTTGTTGTACTGCCGGTAGCGAGCCAGCTGACAGCCGTCGTCGTGGTAGTACGTGTACTCCGGGTAGGGGATGTACGCGCCCGTGGCGGGGTCCAGCGGCACCATGATGGGCAGGTCCGTCATGGACGCGGGGCGTTCGTACGACGAGGAGTCGGAGCCCTTCGGCTCGGCGTACTGCGGACTGCCGCTCTCGACCTGGTTCTCGACGTCCTGGCTCTGGTTGCAGACGGGCACGCTGCGGCTGGTGTCGGCCGAGATGTTGGAGCGCGAGCGCAGGATGGGCCGCGTGGACGAGAAGTCGGTGGAGTGCTGCAGGCTCTTGGAGCGCGGCCGCAGCGTGGCGGGCGGGGTCTCGTCGATGCGGGACAGCGTGTGTCGCCGCACGGGTCGGTACACCTTGCGGTCGCCCAGCTTGGGCCGCTTGATCTTACGGTGGGAGTTGTACGTCTCGTGGGAGGAGGGCAGGGAGGGAGGGTGGTGGGGCGGGGAGGGGTTGCGCGCGGGTGCCTGCGGGGCGGGGGCGTTGGCGAAGTGCGCCGCCACGAGGTCCCTCATCTGGTCACATGCTCAGTAGTTGTAGGGGCCGTACTGCGACCCGTGGTAGTAGGGGCCCGGGTACGCCTGGGGCGGCGGGTAGCCCGCGTAAGCGTACTGCTGCTTTTGTGGGTACACTGCCAAACATACGAGAAAATATTAGACGTTTGACCTGGTAATTTATAATCTCTGAAAATACAGCACTGGGGTGTTTATTTACGCTGATCCAAATGTAATTTTTTTTTATTGGTTTTGAAACTAATCTTACTCAGAAAACTGAATTTAATCGATAGACAATAAAATATGAGCAGATGAACAAAGAGCACAATTAATTTTCAACATCTATAAAATTTAAACTTGATTTATTCAAAATCCACAAACCAGTCATGCATTCAACATTCACCCTGTTTGAAATCGAGAAAATATTTACAAAAGAAATTATTAGTAGGAATGTGTTTGTGTTGCCACAAGCGAAAAATGTTACATGTTGGTAGGGCATATAAATAAGTTTGAATTCAATGAGTTTATATTTATTTTTTTAAAAACATCTGACTGCGGTGATCAACTGTAATTAAAGCGAACTTTCAAAACGGATCGATAGACCTAGTGTAATAATTCCTACTCAAATGTTCTTTAATCTAATCATAACATAATCGGTGTTTCTTATAAGACTGATTTCTTAAATACTTAATGATAATTGTATGATGTGTTCTAGGTCCTAAGTAATGATGAGTTTATAAAGCATACCGGGCATGAGGTACTGCATGTTAAGCGCCTCCTCCCGCTCCCGCTCGCCGCGCAAGCAAATGGCCGCCGACGAGAACAAGATGGCGGACAGCAGCGACAGGCCCACGCCGCACCACGCGACCATGTACGACCAGTCGTACCACACGCGCGAGTTGTCACGTAATATCTGGTTTATATCGCCCCGATCGCGGTTCATGTATGGGTAAGGGAGGGAGTAGAGGTGTCAACAATGAGTGTTGTGTGAAATGAATGTAGCAAAAATTACGATCGATCAAAAATTTCCCGCGAAATTCAAAATGTGTGTAAATTATTTGTGTCACGTGTATAGTGTTTGGAAGTTGGTTATGTACAATTCAAAATACGTGTGGGAATCAATTTAGTTGGTTCAAATACAGTTTAGTGATTTTTCAGTATTTACAGCACCAATGTTAATAAATTCGTCCGTAAGCGAGTTAGTATTGCGTTTGGCGTAAACCAGATATTATGAGATAGCCAGTTACATTTAAATATGCGTTAAACGACCGGTCGCAGTCGCGAAGTTATACGCAGTAGCCAAGTTTCATAGAAACATGAAAAAAAGAGAAAAGCTTTTTGTTAGTATGAGATACTTACATGATCGTACTTATGAACTAAGTTAAAGATGATTTACTGTTAAGTGAATAGTAATACGTGGGGTAGGTACCGAGTAACTAAATTAACATGTATTACAGCCACAACAGTTTAAACATAGACTACTTATACTACAGAACACAAGGTACCTAACTACAACACACATTACTGCCCACTTACAATACAAAATAACGAAATCATCAAAGGAAACCGTAGAAATATACAAAAGAGTTTTTAGTGTTATTCCCGCCAAGCGTATCACAAGATGGCCGCTCAAGATGGCGGTCTAACCTGGCATTATGTACTGCACGTTATTCTGCTGTTCCCGCCTTTTTTCCTTGCTCAGGCAAATGGCGGCGGAGAAGAATAAAATGGAGCTTCCGAAGGAAACGCCAACAGACAGCCAGGCCAGGATGTACGACCAATCGTACCAGATTGATGAGTTGTCTTTTAACACCTGATTTGGGGGTTGGGTCAATATTGTGGTACAAACCTTCATAGTAATATTCAAATAATTTAAGTAGATATTCTTCTGCGTTCGTAACTGATGGCAAGCATTAGGTGTAACTGATTCTGATTCTAATTTACACCATAAGCTTTGCTAAAATTTTGTTACAATACTCGAACACCTATTGCTGCAAAACTGAGCTGGAGCTGCTTTTACGCTCTCATGGACTTTCCTTGGCACATAAGGAAGGGTTAAAGGACATAACCTCTTCATCGTGTAGGTACTGTAGCTGGTAATGCTGGTTCATAAGATTATACTTAACCCATACAGAGTGTGAACGGAACGCTTCCAAAAAATGAAGACATGGTAAAAACGAGTTCTATTCAAAAAAGTAAGGAATGTTTCTTTAAGACAATTTTTTTAAGGGGGGAAAATCGAATGTCTGCTCCCGCCTGCGTGAGGCGGAAGAGAGTGACAGACTCTTACTGACTAAAAACCACCCCGTTCTTACTCTTTCACTTCGAGCCGGAGCCCCGGTTACCCGTTAGGTTCTCCGCGGCTTTATGACATAATAGTTGTAATCTGAAGATGTAACTGTTCAAGGCTGAAGCTAAATAACACAAAAACTATTAAAATATTAAACTAAAATTGTTTGTCTGCGTTTTTCAAAGCGATCCGTTTACACGCTGTATTATCTTGTAAAGCATTTTAAACGTTTATTCTAATTGTAGACAATGTTTATCTCGACAACACTGTTTTCTTACATTAGGCCACTGTTGGTAGTACTCCTCTCCAACAACCTTCTCCTTCTCGTAAAACTCCACGCCATGCCATAATGCCATCGCACCTGCTGCTAATAAACCTGAAACACCATCACAAAACTATTTAAATACTATGTCATTAGAATCAATAAAGTAGGAAATATCTAAGAATTCAGGTCAGGATATTTTTTCCGAAGGATCTAGATACCTACATTGGACAGGCATTGTATGATCTTACGAGTTCTTGGGACCCCAAGTTGAGGTTTCGTCGTAAAATTCTATGTTAAGTACATACATTATACAGAAACAATTAACTAAACTATTTAACATTTAACTAAAATATCTTATATCTACACTTTTGCTCATAACTCTATGATAAGTGCTTTTAATAATGAACCAAGAACTGATTAATTGATTGATTTATGAATTAATGACTAATTAATGATTTGTAAGTGAAAGTAATTCATTTTTGACTGATCTATCGACTGATTTTGAATTTGATTAGGAAATATATACAATTTGGCTGAGACATACCCAATATTTGAATGCCTAATAGGTGAAACAAAGAGGTATTATTACGTAACTCAAATAAATAACACCTTAGTCACTATGTTACTATACCTTTGTTCAGCAAATAAAGCTATTTTGATTTTTTTCACTAAAGCCCTGTCTCTGCCTTCCATGAAACTCTCAACCTACTAAAGGCTACTGAATACTGATACATACAATTTTATTAGTTTCAAAAGTTTTTTTATTTATTTATTTTATTTATTTATTTTTTATTTATTTATTATAACACCTTACAATGTGACATCTTACAGTTTATTCCAATGCAATATCACATTTCCTGACACATTTAAGTCTAACACGTAACTTAATTAATAAACAATTCACCTTAATTATTAGATTTATAAGAGTTACATACTCTCAGTATGACATACATATTATAACCATACAGACCCAATTACTCAATACGGTGATATTCAATATGCCTTTGCACTGCTTCAATAAACCTTGGTAGGTTGTGGAACAAATCATGCTCCGGTACACTATTTATAATCCGAATAGCACGCGAAATAGGAGCATATTTAAGAAGATTAGTCCTAGCCCTTGGCACTTCCAACAGGGTGGGGCGTCGACGAGCCCCTACGTATCCGTCTGGCACACGCAATCCCAACATCTCCAACACTTCCGGGTGATGGACCAATCCTCGTAGTACCCTGGCGATATATTTAACTAGTGCCACATCTCTCCGCACCTCTAGTGTATTGTACCCAACTGTCCCCAGGACGAATAAACTTGGGTACATCAATGGGAAAAATGGATAAATCCCATACAATTTCAAATACAAAAATCTTGTGAACTTGTTCTGTATTTTTTCCAACATCTTAATGTATTTGTCCTCATGTGGATTCCAAATAATAGCACAAGTTTCAAGATGGCTTCTAACCAATGCATTATATAGAATTTTAAGTACCGCTATATTTTTAAAGTCATGACCCTGTCTCAATATAAACCCTAAATGTCTAAAAGATTTGCTACATAGATCCGTGACGTGTTTGCGAAACGTTAGCTCGGTCACCATGTGAACCCCTAGATCTCGGACGTTTGAGACACGTGGCATTATTGCACCATCTATTTGATACTGATAACAAATTGAAGAAGTTGAGTACATTTGTTCCTCAACCTTCGTTCCAAAAATTAAATCACACGCCAGTATCTATTGATACGTATAATAATGAAGTACTCACATGTGACAAGCATAAGTATGGCTGTGGCGGTGATGTTGCCAGGACTGCGCTTCCAGCAGCCGACCACGCCAGTCCAGAAGGCAATGAACAATGCTAGGAACGCCACGATGAACAGAGCTACCGTTGAGCGCGCCATATGCAGCCTGGAATTGATAAAAATGTGGTTAATTAGGTCTGTTTAGAACATCAATCAATGGCTACCCTCTAACGGCCGATTATAGCTGAGGTCAACCTAAAATCTTTTAACAAACTTTTTTTGGAAGAAATAGAGTTTATGTGATTTTAAAGGAGGTAAATAAAGAGTACGAACTTACAAAAAAAGGTATTTACTTTGTGCTTTTAAAAAGGTATTTTTTCGTAATGTTTGCAGTACATAACAATCAGTTTAATTATTAGGTTAGCCTATAGCTCGTTAGATAGGATTGTACGATATCAATATACCAAACTTCATTCGATTCGGTCCAGTACTATTCATAACAGAATGGTATGGCGTCAAAATTTTCAATATCGGTTAGGTTTTTGAAAAATATACATTAAAAAAGAGTATTTTAGCGTACTCTACAGATGACAATACTCTATTTTAGAATAGTTGTTATATGTAGAAATTTCTGATTAATATCAGTTATTGATTTCGGCCAAGTCTAAGCAATTGTCGCTTTGACAGTTTTATCTTGTTTATGGGAATAAAGAATAGTTGTAGATGGACCTCAGGGGACATACTGCTGGCCAGGCCAGAAATTGAGTTGATGATGATGATAGGAACAGAAACAGAGGTTGTTACCCCATGGGTTGTCATTCCCTAATAGTTTGTACTAAACCAATTATTAAAAATAATCCGCCCATTTCCAGATCATTAGTTATGTCAATAAAACATCGCCATCGTCCCTGATGAACTCATGCCTTTGTCTCAAATTAACGACAATAGTGTGTTTTAAAACGAGACAATTCTTTCGGCAGGTATTGTATAAACCATTATAACAAGTAGGTATTATTAATTTCCCTTTATTAATCAAAATATCATTATTATGTCTGCTTACAATGGAAACCTACTTGTACTTCTGCAAACAATGTATTAAAGATGACTTCATTCATAGTAAAGTTTAACTTCATTCTAATTATACTTAGATTCAATACAATAATCCTTCGATATAGCTTGATGAAATTATTTAAGCGTCCTTATATTATGATATGTTAGATTATATACAGTCTACTTTTTATCAAGTACAGTAGCCAGCACATCAATCTAATCATATGTATCAATTTTGATCAATGGATTTACGACTTTATGTCTAAACAAAATGGAGTTACAAATCTAATAAAGAAATTTGATAGTTGAAAAGAGTAGGTTGACCTACTGTCCATTGTACATGAAGAACTGGAAGCAAATCTTGTGGTGGATCATTTAACCGCAGATGTGTTATAACTGTAGTACCGCTAAGTTTTATTGTTTTATTGTCATGATTTGCATATTCAAACAAATGATATGGAGGTCAGTTTCCCTATGACGAAGAGTACTATGGACTCAATACCTATAATTCCTATGAAAAGAAAAGAAAAGTAGAAACTTTGCCATTCACACAAACAGAAAGATCATCAACCATGAGTGATTGTAGATTCCAAAATCTTGTCAAGTAATTTCCTCACAAGTCTAAGGTATTTGAGCACTGTAAATTATTATTTATAAAAAAAATAATAAAAACTATTAATAAACTTAGCTATGGTCAATAAGCCTCTATCAAGCCTTAAGTATCGAACTTGTTAAGAAGGTTCAGAATTTACTATGAAACAAGTCCCTAAATAAATTATCAAATTTATTACACATCAGCAATAAAAGTTTAAAAATGATTATTAACTGTGATCCGATTAAAAGACGATAAAACTATTTGTCTAAATCGTTTTTCGAGTGGTGACTAGTAATCTCATCAAGGACAGTTTAAATGCGGGTCTCATTTTAACTGCGATGGTCCTAGTGTATCTCCTTGTGGAACTCCATATTGCTTCAGAAAAGAGGATGAATTTGATAACTTATGCTAATATATTTATTGCGAGTCATGCATTATGATGTTTGTTGACTACAATGTTTGTTCGTAAGGCCAAAACTTTCAAGGTGTTGCTAAAAACAATAATAAATAAATTGAGGTAAAACCACGTATTAAACTTATGTATTTTTAGAATTTGTTATAGGCGTTAGTGCTTTGAAGTTTCCGTGATGTAGGACTTCATATCAAATTAATTTATTGTTTTGAAGTCTGCCTTCTTGGTGCTATTAAATAATATTCTCTCATAGTAGAAACATTCAAATAATAACTTATTTGAACTCAGAATCATACTGCCTTAGGAGGACCAAACGTCACTTAAAATACAAAAAGAAAAAAGCTTCCTGTTATTGTTTTTCGTCAGGTAACTCATAGACATAACAAAGTTTATTCCTATTGTTTTTCCATTTCTCACAGGGAAAGTGAGTACCTACGTATAAGAATCAATTGTCAATGGTTGTCATGGTAATTGCTCATAACATGTTATAGTCGTGCCGACACTGGCTGGCATACTAAAGCCTTTGAATGGGCCAATGACCCGAAACATACTTAACTTACGTTTTAATACTGACCTTATCTATTGTTCTCTTGGTCGGCGGATAAAATGTCTTGTACTTATTTTATACTAACATCATAAAGGCGTAGCCGATGCTAGATTTATATTTTAACCGCTTTTTGAGATAAGGAAATGGAAACTTGTGCTATTTTAAGGAAAATAGAGTGAAATAATCAGAAAATAACCCTAAAGGTGAGAAGTAGATACAAAATAGGTTGCAGTGGTCCTCAATATAAATCTGTACGGTCTCCTTACCTACAAATTGCGGTTTAACACCACTGCAGATTCATTTTAGTTTATAAAAGTGATAGTTGTTACGAATATCTATGGAACTGATTAAGAGACTATACCCGCATTTGATATAGACCAGGCAGCAGTGCATTCTGATAAACGCATTTAATCTTCGATCTCAAGTTCTGTCAACCGAGGCAATTATAACAAATCCCTCTTATGTAGAAGAGCCTCATCATCTCTGCCACTGTCACAACTGTTGATAATGATGAGGTATATAATGAAACGTTACCTGTTCATCGCGTCGTCCGAAAGGCCTTTCGTCTCGTTGTTCTCGTCAGGGATGAAGTAGTCCACATTGCTGCAGTGTGTCTCCACAGGCGATAGGTAGATCTCAACTGGAAAGAAATAATGGACAGGTTAGTTTATAGAGCAGAATTTTGGAAATAAGTACCTGATCAAGTCTATTTGATAATTTAACAACTTATAATGAAAATAGTTTTTGATTATGCACCTGTTATTTCGTTGGGTTTAGCATATTGGAAAATGTTATTCAACATAAATATAGCTTTGATTCAAAAGTGTTTCAAATCATAAAATGTATTTTACGACCACGATCAAATCTTTGACTATACAAACTACTAAATAAATAAAATACCAATAAGATCATTAAGCAAAATACCTTTGTATTTAATCATATTGTTACTTTGTCCGTGAGTGACGAAACAAGAATGCCATTCTGTATTAGCATTCATACCCCTACGGAACTTAAACTCTTTCATACGATATTGTAACCTTGTATGTTGAAGAAAGTGTTAAAAGTGACTTGAATCATAACTGTTTAAAATTCAGAACGTGTCACAAAATATTTTTAGTGCATGCATGTAATTTGACTGAAACATACTTTAGCTGCAACTTCGTATACGAATAAATATCTGCATTTTGCGTTTTAGAATTGAAAGAAAGCCTATCTGAATTTTTTATACTCTAAGATCGTCAAGGAACCTACACGTTATTCAGTTTTCAGCACCCTGTAGATAACTGTCCTACATTTCGGTTGTGTTGTACTTAGATACGTTCCCGTTACTTAGAACCTAACTTAAATATTGTAAACTTATTGATTCTAAGGTACGTTCATTATAATATCTATGCTAATCTGTTCCCAATAAACAATATTTCATAATAATAATTTATCAAACATTTATAACAAGATCTTAATTGCATTGGTATGCAGCACATTAATTTACGAATAGGTGTCAACACAGACGGATTGGCAAATATCAAAATCAGGTATTTGGTTTTACAATCGAAATAGTGTTCAAATATTTTTATACTAAAACTACTACAGTACTATAGGTCAAAAGATCATGTTTCAATTTGCAGAAAACCAATGAGTCTGCCTTTTCTTGTAGCTGGGTTTCTCCCAATTCCTTTTTCTCGACTCAGAATAAATCATCAAAACATAATAACACCACAATTCTTAATGGTTCTTAGAAATGCAGAGGGATTGTATATTGCAACGTTTATCCTGTAAGGGTTCATAATGTTCATATTTACTCATCTTAAACACAAACCGACAGTGGCGTAAATGTACCATTCGGGGCCCGTGAAAATACACAAGTTGGGCCCCCGTTCCCAATAAAAAAACAGATGAAAAACTCTGAACGGGGCCTTCCTGCTGGCCCCCAGCATTATCGCCACTCTCTAAGTACGCCACTGTGAATAGAATAGCTCATAGTCTGGCAATGTACTGTCACGAGTGGTCCAATAAAATGGTTAACAGAACTAGTCAAGATAGTCAACCAAGAACAAATGTTACTAAAGTGATTAAATTCCAGAATTGACAATGACATCAAGAATATTACTAGTCACCATTAAACCATACTCTCTACATACCTATAGGTAATTAAGTATCACTGTATAAAGTACCTACACACAGTTACACAGCACATCTAGCTTTGCAAACCAGTATAAATTGACCATTGATTTTGCGCAAAGATCATACAAAGCAAGACTTCAGGTAAACTGGTTTTGTAGAGCTTGATGTGTGTACTTAGGACCGTACATAAAAGACAAGAAGAAGTATGCGTGATGTATCGTAAGCAGGAAACATGGATGCCGTGTCATAATGCCAGATTATTAAGTCATCACATAATTGCAGCATCAGCTCACATGCCCACCTTCCATGGTCATAGAAAAACAGCATCACGGATAAAACATGTAATAGCGTCATTGGTTTGAAATCAGGTATTTATTTGTAAAAAATAAGATGGTTTTTATAATAACTATCGTGAGTGAGACATACTTAATTATCTAAAAATCTACTAGTTTAGGGTTAAAATAGCCTGTGCGACATCGCCGCGATCGCGTACGCTGCTCATGAGGAAGAACTCCTCTATGGTTCGAAATTAGTAGAGCTTTTTTCAGTATATTCAAGTGAGTAACCCGCGATTTTTATTTAATTTAAATAAGATGGAATCCTAATACCATCTTATAGAAATTCTACTATAACACAATACGATATAGGTCATTTTTATCTTATCAGAACCCGAGCAAAACCGCTGGCAGAAGCTAGAAGCTCATAAAACTTCTTAAGGACAAAATGATTGGTTTACAATTTTAATATCTCTTTGTTTCTATTGAGCACCACGAGTCATCAAAAGTGAAATCTATCGCACTAGGAACCTATTATAATGACTTCTCATGATTTTAATATCCCACAAAATGAAAGGCGATTAATTTTTTGCCGTAACTCCACCGATACTTTTATTAATGTAATAAAATTGCAAGCTTATAATAAAATTACTATTAGTTTTCTTATGCATAGAGTGAACCCGGAATTACAGTCATGATCTCGTCATCAGCGCACGCGCATTCTCTTGCATTTCACAATCTATTGTCTCATGCGCAGACTAAACACACTCCATAGACTAAGTACGATAACATAATAAAAACTTTACTTCATTATTATGTAAATAGATGAACCAACTTACTTACCTATCTATGTATTAAATATCACCATGTTAATCCGTTTTGATAGAAATTTTCGCTGTGTTTTCTACGTAAAATATTGTATCATTTTCGACCAGGCCGCATTTTTGATCGGTCTATATGACATGTAATAAGCATTCCTACGTCTAACTCGAAGTCAATTAATTTAAAAAAAAGTAGATAAATGTCAATATTCGAATAAAGAAAAGACGAATAATAATATCTATTTGGACGGCAGGAGAAGTGATGTAAAATGTATAACTAATTGGAATAAAACAGATATCGAACTAAAGCTGTAACGTCAATCAGATTTATAGGCACACATCTAGAGACACATGTTTTTTTTTTATTTAACCATAAACAGGAACCTACATCAAACATGACTTGACAGAAAACTTCCTCAATTTACTTACAATATAAGCAATCTTCTAAAAACTGATCATATCCCAAAAACCTAGTTTTTACAATATAATTAAAAAGATTATTACCACAAAACTACTCCTTTGTTATTCTTGTTAGTTCTCACAGCGATTATTAGTCTGCCATCTCTTTCTAACTGATTTATTTGTCTTATGAAGGAAAGTGACAGATTGAGTTAAGATCGTTGCGTTTGAAATACGAACGCATTTCGATTTCAGTAAGAAAAAAGGTTATTTTGTAACTAGTGCTACTGTTCTCGTTAGGTATGTGTAATATTTATGCATATACATATTTAATAAGACAGAAAACGAGAATAAAAATCAAGAAAGACCCTGAATATTTAGCTATATAGGTTTTAATTCATAGTTTCAGCCTTTCAGGACTATCAAACTACGTTTAAAAAAACATCTTCTCTCTTTTGAGATCTAAACTAAGTCCTTTTTCTAAGTGTAACAAATAATTTTCTAAAAACCGCTTCAAAATTGGTTCAGCCAATCGTGAGGCAATCGCACACAAACATACATTCAGGTTTTCAGAACCTCCTTACATTTGTAAAGTCGGTTAATAACTAGGATATCAGAAAGAAAAAGCATTTATTTGGCTGTAGGCACGCGCACAGATATAAAAAAAAATATAAAATTACAATAAGAAGAAAGAATATCTATATAATTAGACCAAGACAATGTCTAGATTGGATTACCAGAGTAAACCTGAAAAGTCACTTTGTAAGTATCATACAAAGCAGACTTCCTAAGATCTAATATATACAAAGAAACACGACTAAAGAATCTCAACTTAATAAATTGTAGAATCAAATATTCTGACAATGAGCGTCTCATGTCCCAATAGACATAAGGTTAGCAACATATTAGTACATAGTAAACTGTATATTACATTATTGTATATGCATATTCAATGAGCATCAATATTAATATTTAATATTAAGGCAATCGGAGGCATTGTTCTACCTACATGACTCCGGTATGCGCTGCTGTGGTCTGTGTGCTTGGTCTAATTATAAGACTGTGGTCTACTTTCGTTATGTTAGGAAAGATATTTTAGTTTGTTACTATGGTGTAGATAAAGTATTGGTCGATGATTAGAGTCTATACCCGTCACAAGATGGCTCAAATCTATCCAACACAGTAACGACACCGCGCTTAAATCTGTCCTGTAATCGTCTTCTCCGAACTTTGCTGAAACAGCCCGATGCGATAGCAAAAACTATCATTAGGTCAGTAAGTCAAATGAGTTCCTTTCTGGAATCTTTTGCAGGATATTTAACATTGTTAAAGACAAGTCTTTATCTGTTTCTGACACTTTTAAGCAGAATTATAGACCTTAAAGTTTCTAAAGACCACGTATTCCTTCTATTACTCCTAAACACACTACATTCCCCAAACAACCTCTATAACTGTCCTTGGACCATTAACTCCTGGGTCCTGACTTCCAAACCTCACATTCCATCACATGATACATTGATAATCGCTTCATGCGCGTCACTTGGCCTGCGACCGAACATGCTAAGTGAGTTCCAAATAGGTGACCGAGTTCGCGACATTTGGTAGCGAATGTGATCCGTAGGCGAGCCTTGCTTGCGTCGGGAGAAAGTTTACTAGTGTGTCCTTGTTGTAGTGTCAGGTGTGTGTGTCATAATTATTAGGATGTATTTAGGTGCACATGTGTGTGTAGTCCTTCCCTGGTTACATGACTTGCACAATTGAACCAATCATGAAAAGCTGTGCTAGGTACTCATATTTTGCGCGGAACGGTGATGACTGACAGCCAACGTCGCGTAGGAAATTGGTAGAGCCAGGAAACAAGTGAAACAAGTGAACTTATTTCTGCAAATAGGCTATAAGGTAGAACTATTACACTACAATTTTTCAAGCGAACGCTGAGGCTGGCATTTCCTACCTAATTACTCTGAGAAAAAAAGCCGAAACGAACTCAGTACCTAGATCTTTTCTCCATTAGTTGACATGAG